GAAAGTGGTAAAAATAAAACCCCCAAAAGCCCTAATCCAAATAACTTTTTAAGAATTGCCACCCTCATACCCTCAATATAAGGGAATCTCATCTTGAACTCCTTATCTAGGTTTGTTTTCTGCAGCAGTATGGGAAGAGAATTTCTAAAAATTATAGTATTAAGCAAGAAATACATGTATTAACATTGTTGAGAACAAGGTTCATACTGAGATAGATGAAAAATAAGAATTTAGAATTAGAACAGAAAGAACTCTGGAGTTAGAATAAAACTGAAAATATCAGTATGAAGTTATAACTTTAAAATATTTACACATACTTTTTAGTTACAGCCACTGAAAATACCTAGAAGCAATGACACTTCAATGGCAATGAGCATACCTAGCACCCAGATCTTGGTTTCTAAATATCATTTCCCACTCAAAATGAACCAAAACCCTTGGAGAACTGGCTGGTTCTAGAGTTGGAAAGAGAAGAGTCTAAAATAACTTGAGACAGAAAATAACCAAATCAGGAACAATTTGAACAGTAAAATGAGTAAGTTCTATAATGGGTCATGACACTTCATAAAGTAAGAATCCATGAGTCCAAACTGATCACATACAAGGACATACATACACAGAAGTAAAGGAAGGGCTATATCTTCTAAGAGAATCCTGATTGTTAAATTAGATGGAGTGGTAGAACTGTAAGAAAAATAATTTTTCCACTATCAGAGTGAAGACTATTTTAGGCAAGAATCATCAATAGATGCCAGATCTAGGAATGAAGTATAACAAGTATCCAGATATCTATATGATCTTAAAACCAAAATGTCTTCCCACAGATGCTTATTAGTTGCAAGGGGAAAAATGTTAATTATATACTGAAGAAGCCTGACCAAACGTGGGCCAGATTATTAAAATTAATAATGGGCAGATAGATATTGTGAACCTCCAGATATGACTTAAATAGGGCACAGGTGTATAATGTTCCAACCAAAAATTCATTACCTAAATTTCATCATGAGAACCCATCAGAAATAGAAATTAAAGAATATCTCATAAAATAACTAGCCTGTATTCTTCAAAAATGGCAAGTCATACGAGACAAAGAAAGGCTGAGAAACTGAAATAAATTAGAGGATTCTAGGAGATATGACAACTAAACACAATAAATGATCATAAACTGGATCCTGTGCCAAGAAAGACAAATATGATACATTATTGAAACAGTTGACAAAATCAGAATATGAACTACAGATAAAAGCATTCTATCCCTATTAAATTTCCCACATTTTATAAATGTGCTGTGGTCACAGAAATATACACAGAAGTATTAATGCATAAAAGGGCATACAACCTATTCTCAAATAATTCAGGAAAAAAATAAATGCAAAATCAAAAATTCAGAAAAATGTTAAGTTCTCTGTATTGTTCTGGCAACTTTTCTGTAAGTTTGAAATTATTTTAGTGAATTAAGTTTCAGAGGATATCTAATGAAATAGACGAGTAAACCAAAAAAGTTGTGGGTTTTCCCCCCAAAAGTTATCATTTTAAATCCTGTTTCCCTACATACTACCTCATTCTATATCCTAAATTGGATCAGGACACAAATACCAGACTTTAAATATTTGTCTTAATCTTTAAGGACTTCTGAAAGAAATTAATGGTACATGTTAAATATTAAAACAAAAGGGACCTTATGCTAACTTTGGTGAGCTTTGTAAATTGGTAGCTATCACACTTTTGTTAAACTTTCCTATAGAAAAAGTTATACAATGTGCAAGGTGTATTATAATACAAGAATGTTTAATATATTACATAATAGCAAAAAATGATGAAAATCTACAAATCCAACATTAGAGGGAAAAAATTATATTACGCCCCCACTATAGAACAAAAGTTTAACGACATGATGTAATACAGACTGAAAACAAAAAGTTGATATATGTATGTTTGTACAACAAATCAGAATTGTATTGTGTTCACATGTGTCCAGAAATAAAGGCTTGAAAGGACACACCCGATACAGTTACCAATCCTTGGGAGAGGACAAGTAGCAAGAAGGGCACTACTAACTGTTTGACTCTTCACATTTTTTTCTTAAGAGATCATGTACTAGTTTTACAATTTTAAAGAAAGCAGGGGAAAAACTTTGTATTCTGAGAAGATTTCAATGTACTTCGATGAAATATGATTTCAGCAAACAGCATAAAATATAACTGATATCAGAACTATAATATTCTTGTCACTTAAATTATAACAAGATCTATTTTTCTGTTCAAGTACTGTTATACTATTGGTTCTATGTTTTTAATTTTTGACACAGCCAATGTTGATATAAGAAACAACCAAACCTGTAGGGATTTTTTATAAGAGCTTATTTCAGCCCAAACTGACAATTGCCAGGAAGCAAGATCTCAAATGCTCCACAGAATGGCAGTTTGCAATTTCTTTTATGCTTTTGAAATTAAGGAAGATTACATGAAGGTGGAAGAAAGCAAGAAGAGAATTGAATTACAGGATAGTAAACAAAATGATCTACCCTCTAGAAGCTGGTTATTTCCAAGGTGTGTTAATCTTAGATTTAAAAAAAACAATGGACAGGGCTGGCTAAATGCAAAGATAAATCTTTTACTAAGTTATATACCTACCATGCCTGCCAATTATTATGATCAGATCACCCTGTGAGGTTACTTTCCAGAACCCTTTTTTCATCCACACCAGCAACTCTTTTTTGGAAATAGGTAAGATATGAATCCTAAATCAAAAAACCCTGGTTACTTAATGATAGTAATGAAAAATTTTAAAAGCAAATATCCACACAATGTTTTAAGAAAGTTTATTCTGAGAATTTCACCTGACAGCCAAACCAAACTGTGATTTATTAATACATAAGGTACTCAAGAACTATAAGTGGTTTATTATACTGGAAAGATAACTTATTAAACTCTGAATTACTATCTTGTTACTGATTTTGTTAATAGGGAAAATTATCATCATATGGTGTCCCTTCACTAATACTATACACAAGACTGTGTGAATGGCCGAGAATTAAACTCATCAAATATTTATTAAATTGCTGGCACAGAATGTCTGAGGCACTGTGCGCTGGCCATACAAAGACAGTCCCTTAGTCTTACAAAAAAAAAGTCTTACAAAATCAAAAAAGAAGTTTATTTTACACTGAATGCAACAAATTAAATTTTGGACTCCTTCCTCCAGAATCTAAACTACTCCTTTAATTAGGTAATGTGGGTGACAAATTCTTTCAGCCACTATTTGCAATGTAGTTTTAAGTCACATTCAAGGTACATTTGTAATGAGTCAGAGAGAACTCTCTGAAAAGGCTCATATTACATATTTTGATAAAGCAATAGTTACACCCTTAAGTGACAACCATCACTTTTGTGTTAATGCTAGGAATTTTTTTCCTCTCTTCTCCTTTACACAGAAGTCAATCTCTAGAGACCCTTAGGAAACAATTTTTTTCAGGCCTCTAGAATATCAGAAATATTATCACTACAATTTATCAGTGTAAATCAACTGGTATGCACATAAACCTGTTAACAGTAATTCCTTAGGAACTCCCAAATTCTCATTACCTGAAGTATATGCTAAGCATCCTGAGAATGTTTCTTTACACTTATGCTAAACACCTTGAGAATGATGTTTGCTTCCTTATCTGGTGTACTAAAGGAGTGGTCACTTTTCCCTCTTCCACTCCTGCCGTAGTTTAACTGAGCAGAATGTACAAGGCTACGGGGATAAACAGATTGGGCCCCTAACTGGAGGAACTCATAATTTAGTGGGGAGAAAGCGTGTCAATGACATGACCACATCATTAAGGCCTAACTTTCAACACAAGGAGGTAAAGATAAAAGTAGTGGGAAATGCTTGTCTTCAAGAAATAACATACAGTGCATTGGAACAAGTATTCATTTCCAAAACTCTGAGTTCTCTGCAAGCACAATAGAAGGTGGACAAACGGTGCTCTGAGGCAGGACCCTTGGTTTCCTGATCCTAACATTGCAGTTGTGGGACTTAAGGCTTGTCACTTAACCAGACTTAGCATCAGTTATTTCCTCTAAAAATGTCAGTATTACTTAACTAGCCTAAACTCAAATCATCTTACCAGCATAAACCAAATTGTCTCTAATGGCTTTCAGGTCTAAGATCTGTTTTACTAACTCACTCCCCAAGTAATCATGATCCAGGGAAGCAAGGTGAGTAAGCTGAGTGAACTACAGTTTCTAAACCAAACTGTACATCATCAATATAATAAACTGAGATAGATAGGCCCTGTATTGTGCTTTAAACATTGTGAGCTCAAAAAATGTATTGCACAGGCCACGATAACCTTATATAAAGATGGATCAAGAATAACTGAATGTCCTGCCCGTGTACCACTCTAGTACAACAGCAGGGTGTCGTTTCCTACCAAGAATCCGAGTTCCTGCTGCTGGAACCACGCCTCCTGCAGAAATCTACCAGATATCAGGAAAACCTCCCAAGAGGCTGGGAGGGATCTCAGATAAGATAAACTCTCAAAAAAATAAAATAAAGGAGGGGGGCTGTCCCCCCGCCCTGCTTTGCACTGAAAAAAGAGGCACTAGATTAGCATCATCTGTATTTCATTCCTGCTCTTTTGCAATAGCTACCCATTTATAATAAACAGACCTCGTGCTCAGTGGAGAATTTACTTCCCCGTCCAGGAAAAATGAAGTTCCTTATTTTCACTGAAGACGCTGTCTCCAATCAACACCCACCCTCCCTGGGGAGACCAGGCGCTCTTCTCCCTGCCACCTCCTGCTGACAGCGTAAGCCTGACGCCCCACACCCTAGAATTGCCCCACTTTTCGACACCCTGCTGCACGGATCGTGAGGCTCTGGGGGAGAGCGGAAGAGGCCCGCGTGTACACCAGGGGGGCGTCCGGCCAGTGGGCGCCAGGCTGCCTCCGCCAGCCGGGGATTCAGGGAGACGAAAGGGGAGCGGCGAGCCCCACGCCACCCCTACTTACCCACTTTGTCCTTCCCGTACTTGTGTCCGGCCACCTGATGCGACAGGGGCACGCAGCCGTTGAGGAAGCGGAGCCTGACGCCTGCTGGTTTCGGGGCGCTCTCAGAAACTGCATCGCTCGCCGGTGGGATCCGGATTTCTGGGGGACCAGGCGCCTCGAGCGGGAGGGGGGATGGTGGCTCCGTTGCCATAACCGAGAGCTGAAGCAGTTGCGGCAGCGAGGGCAGGGGAAAAAAAAATAGGGCGGAAGGACTGTGAGCCGGGGAACCCTGGGGTCGCTCAGACTCGGCCGAGAGGAGGCCCGGGGGTTCCCGCGGCTGGTGCCCGCTGAGGCCCGGGGAGGTGGCCCATGACGCCGCGGAGGCGAGGGCGCTGCCCTGCCCAACTCCCGGCGGAGCACGGATCCCGGGTCCCACTGCTCTGCCGCCGCGGCCGCCAGCCCGGGCGCAGCCCAGAGACGGAACCGAGCCGAGGCGCTCCCTGGGGCCCTGACGAGGACCGCGGCCCCACCCCCTGCGCCCCCGCCCCCTCCCGCCGTCCTCCAGTCCCCTCGCCAGCCGCGCGCGCGTCAGCACCGATCGCCCTGCCGCGGGCGAGAGCTTCCGACTGGGCGCCCCGCGGCCGCTGCGGCTACTGAGCATGCCCACAGGCCGCCCGCTGGGACCCCCCTGGGGCGGGGTAGGGTGGGCCCTGGGCACAGGACGGAGACCGGGTTGGGGCGAGCGCGTTCGTGGTCCCGCACTCCCGAAACCACAGGCCAGCGTTAAGAGGCCACCAGCGCCAAGAGGCCACCAGCGCCGTGTGCTTTCATTCATTCAGGGCGCGTTTGAGCGGTTCTGGGGAAAGGCTCAAAGGCCTGAGGCTTCTAGTTGTGAGGAGCAGTCAGTCACGTGTTAGGACAGTTAGGAGGCCGCTGCAGCTCCAAGGGTGGCTTAGGAGGTTACCCCTTGACTGCAATCAACTCCCTCAAACTCCCACCCCACGCAGAAACGACAGAAGTAAAACCAAGCATCTTCTTAGAAGATGAGGCTTCAAAACACCCTTCAAGTTAATCCTAGCCTCTCTCCCTAAATTGGTGCCCCTAAACGGCTTTTATTTAAAATAAAAATCTAAAAAAAGGTTTGGAACCGACACTGACCTAAGACTGTAAAAGTCAGAGAATAATCTGAATTTTTTTAAGTGAGCACATATTTTGAAGAAATTAGTCCTTTTTTTCTCCCTTTCTCTCACTCGACCCTTAGCGCATGTTCCAAGGTCCTCAACCGATGACTGGGTCAAAGGCAGAGAAACGGATGTACACCGGGAGCAAGAAGAGATTCTGGGATGGGACTATGCTTGATTTGCGTCTGGCATTTTATACGAAACCTAGACCTGGCCTTGCAGGACTGGCTATGTAGCCACACTGGCTACGAAATTATTAAGTAAAAAATCTTAGATATCTGACTATGGCAACTGTCCTCCTAACACCTGTACTAAGCCTCTAAAACCCCCCCACACACCTGAGAAATACGCAAAACCCAGCCTGGATTCCCAATTCCTAAAACCCTGCCTCAGGGCTCCAGGACCCCGCCCCTCAAGAGTGCGCAGACTCAATTGCTACTTCTCTAGGTCTATTCCTCCTCCCACCTCCAGCAGCTGTCAAAATCCGGACTGTAGACTTCCTTGAGGTCCGGGACACAGCTCTGCGCATGCTCAGCATCAGCAAGGGTGGATAAAACGCACGTGCACGTGCCACCGGACTGCCTCGGCGCCTGCGCCGTAGTTGCCTGGAGTCGGTGCCCTTAGGCCGCGTTTCGCACCCTCACTTAGTCTGTCAGCGCTAGGCTGTTTTCAGTGTGCTGTGCACTCCTAACAAGCGACTGCGCCATGAGTCTGACTTCCAACGTAAGAGGTGAAGTGGGGTCCGGGCGTGGGTGAAACCGGCGGCCTGCGCACCAGTTGCAGCTTAATCAGCACCTCTCTGGGCTGTTACCGCTGCTCAGCGTGCCGGCCGGTCCTTTAACCTTGAGATGCATCAGGGTTTGTTCTTGGCCGACCTGCAGGCTCCCTGGGCCGAACCGGGAAAGTGGTGTGGATTGGTGGTATCCGCGAGCATAATTGGCGTGGGGGGCATACAGGCATCTACCCAGGTCTGGATCACTTTTCCACCAACCAAACCGTAAAACCTGATGATACCAATGCTAGCTTTTCTTGTTCTCCCTTGAGACACTTCTGTGTCAGGGGGCTTGGAGAAAAGGAAAGGAAAAACAAACAAAAAACCTGTTCCCTCTTCTCACGTTTAAATCACTGTGTAGTTAGAGCGTGTATTGCCAGCAACCCTGAAGAGATGCATGACTAATCACATCTTAGTTTTGCACTTTTTTTTTTAAGGGAAGAAACCCAATTCGGGATCTTAAGTTTTCCCAGATTTTCATTATGCCTCTGGCAACTGGCGCTTCGTGGCAGTAGTCCAGGAGAGAGGATTGAAAACTGAGCTCATTGAGCCTTCAGTTTTTTCAACCTTGCTCCCACTGTGCTAGTACCTAAAGATTGGAAACGTTGCTTCACAGAAGGTCAAATTAAAATTAAGAGACTTTCTAGAAGTCAATGTGAACTTCATTTCTTAAAAATTGGGGGTGGTAGTACGGTTATTAATGTAATACTGTGTACCAGCTCTGTGATAATAATGTGATCTCTTTGCCCAATATAAAAATGCCATACCTCAATATTTGGACACCTGTAACAGTAGTTAAGTAAAGGTAAAGAGATTGTCTAGAAGTTAATTAAAAGTAGCCCCATTAATTTATTTAGTACATATTGAGCATCAACAGTGCCAGAATCTATAAAAAGTTTCCTACTAATATGAGCCTTAATTTTGTAGTAGATTCTATGAATTGGAGGATTCCACTTCTGTGCTCAAAACTTATGTGACAGAGTGAGGGTGACAACCTATGAATCTTTAAGTTACTAATGAGGTATGTAGTAGGTGATTATTTGCAAAAATTATTTGAGAGGATAGTCATTGTAAGTCTCAAATTGAGGCACCTTGGTATATTAAAAGTAGAGAATGATTTTTTGTGTTTTGTTTTTTAGAAATCCAAACCTGTACTTTCTTAGGAATAAAACTATTGTGTAAAATAAGATGTTCATGTGATTCAAGCCACTGGTGATATAATAGGAAGAAAGATTCCAAGTGTGTCTTTAAAATGTGGAGTCATTTTGTGTAAATGCACACTAAACTCTAATAAAGTCGCATACTATGGAAATATGAAAGAGGTGAACCTTAGGGCTTCTTAATACAACCTACAGGCTAATCTTTCTTGCAATCACCACAGATTTGTTTTGTTTTTAAATCTAACCATAGGGGAATCTAAAGGGGACTTTTCCCTTTAGTTTGCAGTTTTCTAAGAGATAGGAAATTGCTTGGTGAAGAGGGCTGTTAATCTTGAAGTACTCAACTTTGTTATGAGAAGCAGCTACTTTTTATTTCACCTAAAAGCATGTTGTGAGGACTGTCATGAGCCTTTGTAAATCTTTTCTTCCAGTATCTTCTTTCTCAAATATAGTTGCATGGCAGAGCAGGGACAGACAATGTTTTGGCAATCCACCTCATAATGATTAGAGCCAAGTTATTTTCTCAATTTTTAAATCAAACCTATTAGTTTATACAGATTGAAAGTCATTTTAGATCATTTTATTTTGGGGAAGACGATCATGTCTCTACTTAGTTAAATAAATTCATAATTATAAAGGGCTTAGAATGATATTTGATAATGGTAACTGCTGTGTATGTTAGATAATAAATAAAAGGGTATGTGTGATACAGAATTTTTGTTTATATTTAGAAGAAAAAATCCAATTTAACCAAATATTTTAGAAGGCCTTCCTGAACCTGCTCCCCCCTCAAGTCCCTTTTTTTTCAGTTTGTTTTATCCTCAGGCTACAAAATAGGTCTCCACCTATCTACCTTGTGGTTTATTATTCACCCCAAACCTTGAACACTACAATATATGTAACCCAAAAGAAATTTCATAAATTATTCTTCTCTGATTTTTATATCCTTGTCTATTTTATACAACTGATTCATTTGGGTTCAAAAAATGCATTGAGTCATTCAAAGTAACTATTTAAGGGTTTGGTTTTTTGAGGAAGAATGTGCAGATCCGACTGTGAATAAAAAAGTTCCTTTGGGTTATAAACAAATAATGGGGTGGGGGCGGGGTGGGGGCAGGGGTTTGAGGAATGCAGGGGAAACGAGACTAGTTCTTGGAGCTGAGTAAATGAGTTCATTAGAGCATTCACTGTATATATCTGAAATGTTTCATAATCAAGTTTTATTTTTAATCTTAGGAAATACTTACAGTTCACACTTTGATACAAGAGGTTAAGATGAGGCCAAAGAAAGATAAGTTATTTGGTGTAAGAGCAATGTGTTGGTCTGATGGACAGGTAGAGCATGAATTCAAATTAGTAATCTATTATTTGTTTTTACTCAGTTTATATTGAACACTGCCTGTATGCCAGGCCTTTAGAGAAAACCAGGCACAGCATACCAATCTGGAGGAGACCCAAGGGAGGGAAAAATTTAAACACGACTCCCCTCCCCCTCTCCTGAGATGAACATTCTGAGTTTGTGGCAGTTGACACTGGGCTGCAGAGGACAGTTTGGGGCAGAAAAGGGGCTAAAGGAAAAGAAGCAGGGTGAGATTAGCAAAATAATTCCCACACTAGAGAAAAGCAGAGGAATAGGTTATAAACAAGGATGTAGGATTTGGGGACAAGTTCATATTTTCTCTATCTCTGAATAATTCTAATAGAGAAAACTAGAGATTACACAGTAGTAGGCCAAGGGAAGAGTTAGAAAGGGAGAGATCATTTAGCAATGTATTTTCTGTATGTTGTTCTTTTCATTGGCTTATTCATGGTCTTTGTGTAGCTGGAAAGCATTGTTAAATAAGGGTGGATAAACTGGGATTTGATCTAACTGTAGGAATTCTATGCCTTGAGAGATGTCTATAGAAAATGCAAGTGATTTATAAACCAGAAGAGACAGAAATAATTATCAGTTTTTTTCTGGACTCCAGAATGTCTGAAAGTTGGTTGTCAACTAAAATATCTTTAAAAATTGGTCTCGATAAAGTCCTTTGTTGTCTCTGGTTTTTAATAGGCATATATACTACCAAGGACTAAATGTTACTTGAACTTTTAATTTTTTTATTCTAATTATTGATTTTTTTTAAATTATTTATTTATTTATCTTTAGAGGGGAAGGGAAGGAGAGAGGGAGAGAAACATCAATGCATGGTTGCCTCTCGTGCATCCCCTGCCGGGAACTGGCCCCAACCCAGGCATGCGCCCCAGCTGGTACTCGAACTGCGATCCTTTGGTTCGCAGGCCCACGCTCAATCCACTGAGCTACACCAGCCAGGGCTAATTATTGATTTTTTAATCTACCATCATTCTTATCTATTTTTATATAGTTTCCTTTTCTTGTCCCTAGTTGTCAGTGATATCTGCAGCTTTTTGCCAGAAGAGACTGATTGAGGCTGCATTTTACATTTGTCTCTAATAAGATTAGAGAATTCGAATTTGGGAAGGGGGAAAAAGAAGAAATGGATATTCTTCTGTAATTTAAAAACTCACTGAAGCAAATACAAAGCCATTTTTTTTCGTGTGTGTGTGTGTGTGTGTGTGTGTGTGACATTTATGTAGAGTCATAAGTGACTCTTGTTAGGAAGTAGGGTCATAGTGCATGTTTTGATTCCCCATGGACCCAGCCACTCTTGGATGGTACCTTGGATGGAGTCAGTTCCCATTTCTTTCATTTGCTGTTGCTTCTTTTTTATGTCAGTTTTCGGTCATTTCTTCCCCCATCAAAATATCCGGGGAGAGTAAACAAATTTTAAAAAAAAAAAGCTTACCATACTGTGTGGATTTGATGGGTAATAAAAGAGAATAAAAGAATGGATGAGAAGGTTTTTTTTTTTTTAGTTTAAGGTAGAAATTTCTATCGGATTCTCCTTTTTATATCATGAGACAAATTAATGCTAGACAGTTGGAGGTGTTCTTTGGCTCTCAGGCTTTTTTGTAATATGTAAGCACCATTAAAATAAGCCTATTCGAGATTATCTTATAATTCACCTAATAAGTAAGGTGTGACTAAGATCAATAGCATTTAAAGAATTGTATTATTTTAGTATTTCAGGATATTCTTCCTTTCAGATTCTTCCTAAAGATAACATTCAGGAAACATAATTGAACATTGACTATATAAAGCAATACTGTAGCCCATTTTATGATAAGTACATTAACTATTCAGAGTGGCTTTCCATTATGGAAGAAGTGGATTGCCATAGCTCCTGACATAGAATATTTTCTCAAGGGGCTTCCATGGTAAATAATGCATCAAAAAGGAAGGTCATGAATGAAGCTAGAAATCAGAGCAAAGTTTTAGCCCTGCTTGGAATTGCCACAGGGAAATACTGTGAGACAGTACTAAAATTCAAGACAAATCTTCACAAAATGTGCAGTTAAAAAACATCCTCCAGTAAGGCCAAAGGTTTGAAGCTGTCAAATGACTTATTAACTTGTTTTCTCAGTCATGCAGCACTTGGAAAGGGCATAGTGTTAATGTTTATTTTATGGGATTATAGCAAAGAGAAATAGAGATGTTGGGGGAAGGAAAACATACTAAATTACTTTGTAGAGAAAAATACTGTGCTTGAAAATAGAATCCAAGGAATATGCTAATTAGAAACTTGATAAAAACTAAATTATTAAATAAGCTAAGAGAAGGCCAAGATAAAAGAAACTTAAGTGTGAGAATGGTTGTTCCTTTCCTTTAGAATTCTGTAAGATGAGCTCCCGTTTTATGTAAGGCACTCTTGGGTACAGTGGTTAATCACATTAGTGTAATAAGAAACCTGACTCAATATTGCAAACTTAGCCATACAGTTCATTATTCATTATATGTTTTTATGTGGCCTTGGAATGTGTTTTTTATACTTATCTCTCTAGGGCTTTATTTGATAGTCTGGGAACTTATTTCAAACACTGTGAAGATCTGACTCAGGAAGTGCTGGGAAGCAGTCCAGTGTGTTTATCCTGACCCCTGTTCAACTTCTTCCTGCAGTCCATTCCGTGCTGGAAATAGACAACTCTCCTCTGAGGCTGAGGCTAACCAGACTATGCAGAGCTTTCTCCTCTCCAACATTCTCTGGAAATGGGGTAGTTGTTAAGTGCTTGGGTTTCTAAGGACTACTTGAAAAGCTATGTCAAAAGAATAAATAGGTGGCCTGTTAGTCAAGTGAATAATTGAACAGAAAAAATGTCATTAAATTTATTATTTTTTATTATTCAATTACAGTTAACATTCAGTATTATTTTATATTAGTTTAAGGTGTACAGCTTAGTGGATAGACATTTATGTAATTTACGAAGTGGCCCTCCCACTATTTCTAGTACTCACTTGCACCGTAGATAGTTATTACAGTATTATTGACTGTATTCCCTATGCGGTACTTCTCATCCCTGTAACTATTTTGTAACTACCAATTAGTACTTCTTAATCCCTTCGCTTTTTTCACTCAACCCCCAAACCCCCAGAATAAAATGTCATTAAATTTAAAATGAAGCTTTTGGGAATTCAGATAATCTTCCACAGATAGATAATGGAAATTTAGAATGTACTAAATGAGAATAAAACTGTAATATTCATCATGTTTAATATTAGTACATTCTGACTTTTATGTTAATGAGACAGCACTTCGAAATTTCAAAAAACAATTTTGAAGGACTTTGAAGCATAGAATCATGCCAGATATATTCCTTTGAATGTTTAATATTAAGGGTGGTTTTGTTTTATTGGCTTTTTTGTTTGTTTTTCTTTGGATACCAGTCCTGTTTGCGGTTATACATTTTAAAACCGCTAAAGGACTTACTATTCAAATGAATTCTGAGTCATTTTGTTGACATAATCACCACCTGACTTGGGGTGGCAGGGTAGGGGCAGTCTGTCCTGTTTGTAGTCTGAATTTCTCAAATATTTATTTAAACAATAGGTATCTGCAGGCTCACGTGTTATTTTAGTTTAAGATTTTGTTTGTTTATTTTTAGAAAGAGAGGAAGGGAGGCAGAAAAAGAGGTAGAGAAACTTTGGATATAAGGGAGGAAACATTAGGTCAGTTACCTCTTGCAGGTGCCCTGACTGGGACCACACCTGCAACCCAGGCAGGTGCCCTGACCAGGTTCCTGCAGCCTTTCACTGTGTGGGACAATGCCCAACCAGCTGAGCCACACAGATCAGGGCTCACATTTATTTTAAATCTTTTTGTTAACTCTTAAAAAGATGATTAAGCCTTGTTTTTCTTTCTCTGCCTATAAAATGATTTTTAAGTTTCCCTCTTCTATTTTAATTTAGCTATCATCTCTCAATCCAAAATACACAATTGCTTATGAGTGGGCTGGGGAAAGTCTTAACAAAGTGTTAACACTAATGTGTTCTGATCATTCAGTTAACATTAAAAACCGACTTTGACTATTGGGATGCTTAATACTAAAAAAATTGGATTTCCTGAACATCTATCTGTATTAGATTATTAGCATATTTTTTGGTTTTTATAATTATTCCTGTTTCTCTTTCCTACTCTAGTTGAATGGATCGCAGCAGTTACCATTGCTGCTGGAACAGCTGCAATTGGTTATCTAGCTTACAAAAGATTTTATGTTAAAGATCATCGCAACAAATCTATGGTTAACCCTAACATTCAGAAAGACAACCCCAAGGTCGTACATGCTTTTGACATGGAGGATTTGGGAGATAAAGCTGTGTACTGCCGTTGTTGGAGGTCCAAAAAGGTAAGGGAAATAAGTCCTTTATATTAGTACCATCTTTAATGTAATATTCTCTTTAAACTATTCTATCAAACTGGTATCACCAGATACTGTTAAGACACAGCTTATTTTTTCCTTTTTTTTTAATGGATCCTGTTCTCTGTTTTTCATGTACTCTTCAAGAATATAGTTACTAAAATGTATAACCTCCGTACAGTAAAATGACATCTGTTCTCATTGAGTTCAGGTGAATATAACCACATTCTTAGCCAAAGAAGAGAGAAAAACCCCTTTACTCTTAAGATTTCCTCCTCGAGTAGATCTTAGCCTTCCATTATCCCGTGGAAGGAAGTATGTAGCCCAGACCCAGAGAAGCAGAAGAGGTCAGTTCTTTTTTTGAGCTTTTAAGCTCCTGGATTCCAGTACAAGTTTTGGAAATTTTAAGATAAAGTTTTGGTAAATCAGCCCTGAAAATTTTTATCAGGTAAACATTGACCCTGTATCCTAAGCTGCCTTTAGGCAGCAGCTTCTGCAGTTAAATGATAAAGTTGGAGTTTTAAAATCTTGTTTTCTTTTGTGAGAATTGCATTTCATTAAGTTCTATGTGGAAGTGTCATCTTTGATTCCTACAGCTTTTGACAGTGATGACAGCTGCTGATCTAAAGATGGTAGAATGTTCTTCTAAGATTATCTTGGAAAGCTTTGTACACTGACTGACTTAAGAATTTCTAGTGTATAGTGAAAACGTTGTATGTATTACCACCGTTAGCATTTCAATAAAATGGATTTCACTAAAGATGACTTCATAAGGACTAAGAGAATAGACAATACAAATGAGGTGTCTAGCCCTGGCCAGATGTCTCAGTTGGTTGGAGCATTTTCCCATGCACCAAAAGGGTTGCAGGTTCAATTCCAGGTCAGGACACATGCTTGGGTTGTTGGTTTGATCCCCAGTTGGAGTGTGTACAGGAAGCAAGTGATCAATGTTTCTAACACTAATGTTTCTCTCCCCACTCACTCTCCCCTCCTTTCCTCCTTCCTGCCCCCCTCCTCTCTAAAAATCAGTAAGCATTTCCTCAGGTGAGGATTTTAAAAAAAGATGTCTCTATTTCAGAAAGCACATTATGTGAGGGACCCCTTCCTACAGTGGAGAGTTGTTGTCACAAATCAACACATCACATACGAGGCACTGAGAAGCATATTCTACTACCCCTCTTCTCTCAGTACAATTGATGCTGTATAATCCAGTGATACAGTGCTTGGATTATGACATTGTGTCTAAAAAAACACCTGATGAGCATATGGAATATGAACCAAAAATCCGTAGTGCCATTACAACAAGTTATATCTTAAGAAGAACAGTGTTCATTAGGAATGTGGGGTTGTTTAAAAGTACTAGTAGGATTGCTAGAAAGTAATCCTCAGTCACATTCTATATACTAGCTCTGGTTTGTTTTGTAAAACTATGCCCATATAGGTTTCATTTTCTTGTTACGCGCCAAAGTATAGAAAGTAATACCTTTATAAATAACAGAATTTCTAAGTCAGAATTGTAATAGTTCTTTAGTCAGTGATTATTTGTTTTAATTTTTTTTTAATTCTCCTCTGAGGATGTGTTTATTGATTTGAGAGAGAGAGAGGAAGGGAAAGTGAGAGAAACATGGATCAGTTAGTTACCTCCCATATGCACCTTGACTAGGGATTGAATCTACAACCTAGGTATGTGCCCTGACTGTGGATCAAACCCACAACCTTTTGGTGTGTGGGACAATGCTCCAACCACCTGAAGTACCCAGCCAGGGCCACTCAGTGATTTTAATTCATTCATTTCATGTCTACTATGCATGCATGCATGACCAAAAGTTATATAATAAAACATCGGGTATCATAGATGTGTATAGTGGATACAGTACCAGGGCTTTATAGAAAAAGAAGAGCTTACACTGTGGGCTACAATTTTCTGGGAAGGCATAGTGATATACATGGGAGTTAAATTGCCCCAGAAAGATTGGTAGCATTTGAATAAATTAGCAAGTATTGGAGACATTCTCAAAATCTGGAAAAGACTCATATGAACAAAGGAGGAATCACTGAAGAATCTAGTCTGGTCCTAGCACCTGCCTCTCCCCCAGAAACAAGGCCAAATGGGAGAGAGTCTTGAGTATACCAGTGAAGAGTTTGTGCCTCCAGACATGGGGGAGCTTCTTGTTAGGGATTTTGGATGCAAAGTTATGATGCTCATACCAGGGTGCTAGCTGTCGGAATGGAGAGCAGTGAAGAGATACTTGAAACATTTTGAAGAAAGGATCGGCCAAATGCATTCATTGACTGCTTTGTGTGGAAGACTGGGGAAGAAAAACTGATGATGATGGAAGTGTCTAGGCCTGTGGGATTCAAAGAGGTGGTGCCGTTAACAGAAATAAGAAATGCAGGGTGAAAAGCTGATTTCCTAGGACAGTGATAAGGAGTTCAATTTCAAAGAGTGCATTAAAGGTGACATTTGAATGGAAATGCACAGCAGGCATTTTGAAATGTGGGACTAAAGTTGAGGCATGGGGGTTAGAGATAGAGATCAACAAAACTGATGAGTCAAGCATAGGAATGAAACCAAAAGGTCCTTGACACAGATAAAAATCAAGGACTACATATGAACACTGAGAGAATCTTCTGCATTTTAGAAATAGGAATAAGAGCTAACAAAGGAAATGAAATGGGCCAGTTAAAACAGAACTAAGAATATCGTGGCTTACAGTGGAAAGGGGGAACAGTTTCAAAGATTTAGATGTCAACATCACCTTGTGCAAAGTCGACCTGCTGAATAGATTATTAAGAGTAAGACTGTTGAATCAAACAATTAGTCATTTGACCTTTTGGTGTCATTTCAACAGAAGAATAGAGTAGAAGCTATGTCCAAGTGGGGTAAAGTGTGAATTACTAATGAAGAAATACTAGCAGTCTGAGTGTATGTCAAATTTTCAGTAAGTGTGACAGTGGATGGAAAGAAAAGGAAGATAATAAATAGCTTTAGTGAGCTGTAATGCTTAGCTTTGAGGTCAAGTAAAGGTATTATTACCTTGGTTGGGTTTTCTCAGAAGGTAAAGGGCCAATAAAATAGCCCTGGCTGGTGTAGCTCAGTGGATTGAGCATGGGCCTGCGAACCAGATACTCGCGGTTCAATTCCCAGTCAGGGCACATGCCGGGGTTGCAGGCCAGTTCCCAGCAGGGGACGCACGAAAGGCAACCATACACTGATGTTTCTCTCCCTCTCTCCTTCCCTTCCCCTCTAAGGATAAATAAATAAAATCTTTAAAAATAAAATAAAATTTAAAAAACATAATAAAATAAATATGTTCTTTCATGGACTAAAATCTCAAGTATTTCAGGAAGAAACAAATATACAGAAGCTAGTGATTTAAATGTTTATTTATTAGACTTTATAGTTCAACATAACATCCCAGGATTATTCTTGCATGGTACGATTTAGAGTTTCCCAAAGATTAAACTAGGGATCACCATCTCCCATAAGTAGACTGTAAGGAAAGGAGTGCCAGACCAATCATTTTATTTTCAATTTTCTCAGTCTTTTTTATTCATTTATCTTTTATGACATTAGTGATCCCCTTTGCATCTAGCATTTGTCAATTCTGAATTTTGACTGAATCTTGAGTACTTTTTATTCCCAGAGTGAATTAAGAGTTCACGTTGAGCATTATTCAAGTCAATGGATGTTCTTTTCTTCATGCTACTTTGGAAGCTCCCCACATTCTTGAGGTTTCCTAAGATTATCACACAGGTGCCAGGTCATACACATGTCAGTGCACAGAAGACTTGTAATTAATACCTTTGATTAGATGGCTGTATTGAGTTTATATTTAGTCATTTTTCCTTATACGACCCAGTTGTGTTTACAATAAAATGTAAATGACTCTTTTACCTATTTCCAAAAAAATGTTATTTGCAATATAAACTTTATTTTAACCCTAATGTACAGTTGCTGGTTTGCTGTGTGCATCTAACATAAGCAGTTTTCCCAGACCTGATGAATCGGATCTCTTAGTAACATGTAAGAAATAATTTTTAACACGCCTCATTCCTGGGCTTCCCCCAAGATTGGTATGCCTTCTGCTGTTTCAAAAAAATTCACTCGCTCCATATCTCACAAAAGGGATATCCATATGTAAAGTAAGAAGGAAAGAAGCCAGTAGAGAAGAAATGATTAAAGCAAGTACAGGGAAAGATATTTGAGACTTTGAGACAGTGGCATCTTCAAAGAGGGTGGAAGGAAATGAGACTAAGCACAAATGTGAAACTTGTTTTGTTAATTAGATTCCCCTTTTAGCCTTAAAAAGGAAGATAGTCTTACTTTTGAAACAAGAAGATAAAGGAACTTTGGCGTAAGAGAAGAGTATGCAACGTAGTCTTGCTAGATTCCCACCCCACCCCCCTTGCTTCAAGTAGGTTGTTACATCATTTGCTGAGTTGTATTCCTGCCAACAGGAAGGCAGGAGAGACGCTGAGCAGGGGCAGGAGAAGAATGCAGACTAAGAAATTAGAAATAGAGGAAAGCCATTCCAGTTAACATCCAGAACTCATCTGAAATGGAAGTGCTGTGCAACTGTACATATCATGTAGAATCATTTTCTTTTATTTACAACTTCAGGGATTGAGTTGTGGGGTTTTTGTTAGTGGTGGGCTTGTTTTTGTTTTGAGGTGTATACGTTATAGAAAGTCTTCCTCCTATTAATAGTTTGGAAGTGGGTTGCACTGAGTCCATTTTTTTTCATAGAAACAATATCTAACAAACATATAGGTCCCAGTATACCCAGGCTGTAGGTTTGATCCCTGGTCAGGGCACAGACAAGAATTAACCAATGATGCATAAATAGTGGAACAACAAATCAGTGTTTCTCTCTCTCTCCCCCCCCACCGTTACCCCCTCTTTCCCTCTCCCCCTCTTACCTTCTCTTCCTCCCTCTCTCTAAAAAATAAGTAAATGTGTTTTTTTTTTAATTACTTATTTACTT